CATTTTTGAGAAATTTGTCAGCCAACCTCCTCGTGATGGTGTTTCTTGAGTTATGCTTATAGGCCAAATATTTAACTAAACATTGAAAAAAATATATAATGACCCGGGAATCGACTCAATATCGGTGAAAGTAGATAGGTACCGCGGGAATCAACTCGTACGCAGCCCCATTAAGTACTCACCCATGGGTACTGTTTAGTTTATACATGTGTTATGCTTATACTTACGTCAGCAGGTTAAATTTTGAAATTTTTTTCGACCCAATAATTATATAATGTTTTATTCCTGGGAATTCTTGACCGGCCTTTTATAATTTTAGCACTACCCATTTTCAAAAGTCAAATTTTTGTGTTTTTTCGCTTTTTGTCAATGACCAGCTGCTATTTAAGTACAAAATATAAAGGTATATACAAGTTAGGTATATAGTCGTATATAAGGTTTAGTAAGCATAAAAAGTCTGCCCAGATATTACCGACAGGGTAGTCATCTACATAACATAAAAACACGCACATATAATATACGTATATAATACCTATATTCTTATATTCGCCGCTAAGTTGTAAAGATTAATTTGTTTACCCAATTTATTTAGTACGTATATCTAATAACATTATTGCTTAATGTTTAGATTAATATGATATTATGATGATATTGAAAATTGAGAGGGAAAGTTGGCTGAGTAGTCAAGTGCCTACACTGACTACCCCGTGCGCACGTTTATGATAATAGGGTCGTATATAGTATACAATATTATACTTTGATATGCACTTTTATAGATTCGTAAACAAAGAACTAAATAATAAATTTCACGTTGAAGCAAAAATAAAATTATCGCGCTGCAAATAACCAACGTTATTAAAATAATATAATAATTATMTTTTTACGAACTAAAATGTTTTGCATTTACTATAGATTCTGTTGAAACATTTGTTACTTATTATTTATTTTAATTGTACAAAAACTGATCTCAGTTTTCCTATAATATTTAACCGTGAGTTAATAAAATTATATCAAGCAATARTAATATTATATATGATATTCGTCATAATATTAAACTTGTTAATTGAATACTACACTTTTTCACACACACATGGCACATGTAAATCCATTATGGTAGTATGTGACCTTGACATAATCAATCATTTATCACCGTAATACCTWTATAGGTAACACATCAAATATATTTTTACCAGTCGTGTTGTTTTCGTCATCACACACGTGAAATTATTATTGTTAGTTGTCATCAATGCCGTTGTCGATCAAACCACCAATATAGATATATCTATTATTTTAAAATAGGACTTAATATTTGTCTCGATATAAGCACACAAACTGTAGGCTGTATGAATAGAAAAAAACATTAACGGCCTAAAAACAAAATGTCTGCAGCTTATAGGTACCTGTTATTAAGTCTGATAAAATCATGTTAATCAAATACTTCTTCTAACAAGTGATAAACTAATACCTAGGTATAACTCTCCGTCCAGTTGATCTTGAYACTCTATATCTATATCTTATAGTCATCTGGATTATGATATTTTSCCAATGTATAATATATAGTTTTCGGATCGCTGTTTTTACCACCGTAACTGTTGCCGAGTACCAAGATGAGTTTATTGGATGACTTATAAAGTTATAACATAATGTTTAGAATTAGGTGSTGTTATTATATAGAGAGCATTATTATCTGAGTAGTACATATTGCACTATTCTTTTTCGGCAAATTAACGGATAAAAACGGGACATAATCCTTGAAATTGTATCTAGGGGGATTTCAATTCCCATAGTCATCTCTTGTGACAACCCTTATAATCACACTCTTACACTTATACAATATAGAGGAGTCATTGTAATGTTTTTTATGTATACTTACTACTATCATTTGGCTTTTTATGAATAGATCGCCTCGGTAGCCAATATAATTATTAATTAATGTACTTGAACATTTTATCGATGCCTATGTTATCAATATAATATGTTATTGTATATCAATGTATATCGTTATTATCGTATTTGTATATTATATCGTTTCGGGTAGCTTAAAATATAATCTATTATAGTCTGAATGACTGAATGTATTGAATCAATTTGGAAATAGCATAATATGTATACCTAAATGGCTAAATGATGTTAATGATTGATCACGAGTCTTATTATCGTATAAGATTAATACATATATTACGCATATTATGTAAACCAGGAAGTATTGTAACAATTGTGTTTTCCTCACTTCTTTTGTGTTTTAAATAATAACTATACAATTACAAAAAATGTAATAAAATATTGAATTATTGTATGTATAATAAGCCATAAATAAAGAATATCGTGTTTAAAAAATAAACATAAATTATATTATATTATCATAATAATTTTGTCAACTAACATATTTTAAACAGTTGATAGAAAAAAAATCATGTCATGACTGAACCTTCCGAACCATAAAATATATATGCCGTTAAATATTWTAATTATATAGATAATAATATAGTCGTAACACTCGGCGCAAAATCGTGGCCTGGAAAATACAGAAACGTTTAACCTCAATATTAAAAAATAAAGCTGGTTTAACCATGTGCGTTACTCGATAGTGTGCCGTCGTCTGAATAATTATCACAGCAAATACACATAGGTATGACATAATAAATATTTTTAATTAAGGTAAACATCGTTCACCATCATAAAAACTTGTGTATATATATCCTCTATTGAYAAGGGAGGAAAACTTATTTCGCTTAGGCTCTAAATCCTATTGTTTTGTCCACGAAGAGATCGTCAAAATATAAACGTTAAGCTTCGCCGATGTATTTCTATAAAACGGTTGGTAAGCTAACGATTAGTTTCGTTGTTATTGACACGATTGCAGTGTACGAGGTGTACATTTTTAAATGCACCGGTCGCCTCAAAAGAGATTAGAGATCCCTTTCGTGTAATTATTAGGAAAAAAAAATTCAATATCAAATCTTATGTTCTATCCGTATATATAGTATAGTGTCACTGTTGAAGAACGCTCTTTGCATTTATGTGATCATCGTGTGCATACCTATGTGGTATTTATTTTAGCGAAACATACCTATTATATTCATTGCATATTATGTTTAAAACATTGTAAATATTTTCTATTTAAAAATACCACATACACGTGGGTATCTGTGTATGATTTGAATTCATATAATTCGAATTGTMAATAGCCATCCCTAGAACGGATGTAGGTAAGCGCATTGTCAGTACCGATATATCATAATATCTTATAAATCATATTATGCACATTTGCACAAACCATTCATCGAATGCGACATTGACAATACTCAACAAGTGTCGTTTTAAACGACTCGTTTACTATACGATGAGATACATAATAATATAATGTACCTATATTGTGTACAAGGCGAGAGGTTCGTTTTTATTATGTCGATGCAGCAATATGTATTATTAAATTTTTACTCACAATTTTCTCAATATACTAAAGAGTAAAGACGATCTAATAATAATGTATAGTATAATATATATATTATTAACTAAGTACAATAAATGACATTTCATGTAGTGTACGGCTCTGGAGGTATATTATATTGTGGAGACTATTACAGTGAAATGTTTATTTTATTCTTGTAGTGTCATCGACTCAAGTGAACTCGTTCGACGATTTATTTAACGGCAAAACAGGAAACAACGAAGTTATGATGGACTCTTCTCTCGTCAACGTAAACAAATCTGTGACGTTTTGGTTGTATACGAAGTAAGGATTATAGGGATGAAATGAAACCGTTGTTTTGTGTCAATGGCAACTATTTTTTAATTTTTTTATTTAATTGATTAAAATTATATTTCAAAGCAGTGCTTGACTATCAAAATAAATGGTCGAGTTACTCTGATGATAAAAAAAAAACTCGTTCCTAGCTATTTAATATACGTAACGTATGGTTTTAATATAACTGAATATTAATTAATATGTCATAGGGCTTATTTTACTCATTATTAAAAAGTTTCAACCATAAGCGTGCATAAGAGAGGTAGACTATTATAGGTAATATATTGAGGTAATACTGGTATTAAATGGGCCAATAATCATAAGTAGTTTTTTTTTGTCTAAAATGACTAAAATTAAACTAAAATTATAATTAGTTGCAAGGACTAAATTGACGACGCGGGAGTTTTGCCCATAGTTTATAAGTTATAACCGTTCAACTGCAGAAATATTAAATACATTTAACATTGTAAAAAGACATTAATATAATAAATTATTTATACATTTTCTTCATCATTAGTTCTTGATAAACTCCATAAATGATAATGGGTTTCTTTTATAGCATTGAAGTTTTCATTTCTTTTCTAATAAATAGTCTTTCATAGTTTGTGGTTATTGGTATAAGGTTGTAGATCTATCTGAAATTGTAGTTACTTACCTTACTTAAATTAATAGTAAATTATTATATAATTATCATGTATTATTGCATCATACATCAATACTTATTATTTATATACTTTTTTTTTAGGGGAAACCCGCGGCAATATAGGCCATTGAATGTGGGGTGGTACGGTAGGGGTTGTTTTTGTGTATTTGTTTTTTTTTTAAGTTGATAGGGTTGTTACTCGTATTTGAGTATGTGTGGCAAGGATATGAAAATTCCAATGTCTAACTATCCGGAATCTAGCAACTGCGTCCGCTACGCCTCACCAAAGCCACAATACTTATTATAATAATATAATATGTTTGTTTAGAACACTTTTTTTTTATATATAATAAAAATTATAAACTTGGTAATTTTTTTTTAAATATAGCAATTTAAGTACTATCCTGACGCTAAGGTTACATCTCATCAGTGTTTCTTCACATTTCACAAGCCTTTGACAAAGTCTGGCACCCTGGCCTTCTTTTCAAATTAAAATCCTTTCTACCGCCGTCATATTACCTATTCTTTAAATCATATTTAAGCGAGCGACACTTCTTTGTAAGATCAGGAATATAATTCTCCAGTATATCACCAATCTTAGCTGGCGTTCCTCAAGGTGCAGTTGCATCTCCAATTCTATTTAACTTTACTTGGCAGATCAATAACCCACCAATCCGAATACTCAAATTGTCGAATACGCCGACGACAAAATAACAAACTCCTCCCACAAAGACCCGGGCTTAGTTTCTATCTCTCTACAAAACTATCTGAATGATCTATCACACTGGTACTCTCTTTTTGGTGCATCAAAATAAATGAAAGCAAATCTGTACACACTACCTTTGCTATCACAGCCAACTTCCCCCAGTACCTATAAACAACAAACCTATATCAAATTCCGACATAGCCAAATATCTAGGTTTAATTTTCGACAAACGTCTAACGTGGGCTAAACACATTCATAAAAGAAAAAGAAAATTAAACAAACGACTCTACTTTCTCAGATCCATCCTTGGTAAGTTCTCAAAACTATCCCTCAGAAAGTCAGAATCAAAATTCACATCTACAATCTCCTCCTTAAGTCAATATGGTTATACGGTGTACAGTTTTGGGGCCCTGCCAAAAAATCGAATATTCAAAAAATACAAGTTTTCCAATCTAAAATCCTCAGACTCATAACCAAGGCTAGGATTTGTATGCAACAGCATGTTTTTTTTGCGACTTCTGATTGTTGATTTTGTCAGTAATGTCCACGAATCACCTCATGATGAGATAAATGGTAGTGTTTTTATTAATATATTAATGCATATATTGAATAAAATTAATATTATTGCATATTTCCATTATAAGAATACGAAAAATGCATGTTTTATAGTATATTTCGTGATTAATATTTATAATTTAATATTAATATTTCGTATTTAATTCTATAATCTCGGCTGATTAAAGTATTAAACTTGGTTTTTTTGTCAAACACAAATTTTATTTTTATAAATACAATCCTATGGTACAATATAAAATCTAAGATAGAAATTAAAATGCATATTTTTGTAAATAAAATGCATATTTTACAATTTTTTATTGCATACAAATCCTAGCCCTGCTCATAACCAATGCTTCTCCTTATATCTCTAATCACACCCTTCATTCTGATCTCCATATTCCTAAAGTCACTGAAACAGCCAAGCTATTTTACTCTAAATTCAGAAATCACCTTCATAATCTTCATCCCTGGAACCCCCTAGAAGATTCAAGTGACAATAGCCTCAAGATCTTATAAATTAAAAAAAAAAAATCCTAAATAATTTGTAAATTCACGCCGAAGTGCCTTCGCTGGTTGGTTCTTCCCTCAAGATACTCAAGCTTTACATATATGTATATTATTTTAAAAAACATGATTTATGATTATTGTATTTTTTTTTTGTACAGATTGTATAAAATCTAAATTTAAATTTAAAAGCAAAAATTATATTTAAGAATTATGTTAAATTTAGTATTTATAATTATTATATATTAGAGAAGCGGATTGAATGGAAATAAAATAATAATTCATATTAATATTATATTTTGGGAATCTATAGTCTCTCCTAACTATCTCTTAACTTTGACAGTATAGTGCACCGGATACTTAAAATTGGTAGAAAGCGAACGTTGGAAGTATGTTGCCCAATATTATGACGAACGTCGGAGAATATTTTATTTTCGTGTTTTTCGGAACGACTAGCGCCATCTATGAGTAGCGGTTGTAAACTTCAGTGTACTTGACGATGTACTTTACATTTTGTTCGTAGAGAGCGCCCCAACCACAGTCGCAGATTGGTGCCCGAGAATCCGAAGTCTTTGAAGTCATCGGGCTTCGACGGTGGTAAACCGACCAAAATCTTGATTCATGGTTGGTTGGGTGAAAGTAAAAGCAAAGACAGCATCTGTTGGATTTTGAAGACTGGTAAGTACCTATTGGGTAAATAAATTAATTAATCATGAATTCATGAATTATTGTTAGTTGACCGTAACTCGTAGAGTGTCGTGCAGTCATACTGGCTGTAGTCAATTTGCATCATCCTTAGGTAGGTAGTAAAAAATAGGAATCGTAATTTGCACCAAAATTAAAATCGATTATGTTTTCAATAGTATCTCGATAGTATCAACTTACAAGTTTCTATATCCTAATATAAATTTAGCTTAGTTTTTATTTATCAAATAGTTGAATTTTTATAGGTACATACTGTTGTAAGTTTATATATTTTTTTTTTTTTTAATTAGGGCCAATATTTAGACAATTTGGAATTTCGTTGCCGTCTCCAATTGCATTTGTGTTAGTCGTAAATGATGATAGGTGGGAGTGTGGATGTGTACAGCTACTGGGTTTCAGTGTCGTATATAGAAATTATTTTCACTATGGACCAATTTATCACTATAAAATAAAAGTAGTCAAACTTAATTCGAACATTGCACGAACGTAGCCATAATTATAGTTTCTTTTTTATGAAATTAGGTGAGCATAATTATGATATAAAGTATTAAAATAAAAATAAAAATAAAATATATCTATTCGCACAAAGCAATATCGATCAGTGAATAATTTAGTGTACCGCTCAGACCATCGTATAAGAATCATAAGCGGATATTGTGAATGAGACATTACGTTGTACGTTTGAAGGTTGGAATGTTGGGAGTGGAGGCAGAGTTTTATAATTTATTTTCAGTGCGATAGATCCAAAATAGAATAGAAATTGACGTTTTTAGATCCATTATCGACAGTTTGCAGCAAGTTGCAGTTTAGTTGCGATTTTTTTCAAACAATGTTGAAGCACTTCAATTTTTTTTTCAGAGTATTTCGCGTTGTACGATTACAATGTGGTGTGCGTTGACTGGAGCATGCTTGCGGTGGATTTGCCGTACTTTACAGCCCGGATGCGGTGCAAAGAAATCGGAAACTATGTAGGTGAAATGATAATGACGATGACGGAAAACACGCCACAGAGCAACGACGATGTACACATACTCGGTTTTAGCATGGGCGCCCACATCGCCGGTTATGCTGGTAAACGACTTGAGGGAAAAGTGCACAGGATCACTGGTAATAATATAAAATACWTAAATGCAATATCGGTTATTATTCGAACGTGTTTGACTAATATAGTAATATACTCGATTACTCGAAGCAAGTTTTGTGCCGAAATGCGTGTGCGTGTGTAATGGTTRCAATGCTTAAAAATATTGTTCATGACTACTATTAATACATTGAGTGGATAAATTCGACAAAAGATCAATAAACTGCTCAACTCAATAAGAATGATGAATAATAGAAAGAAAAAAATGAATGTATAAAATAGTGTGGGTTTTGTATGAGATCGGGTTAAATTCCATACAGAATTGAATGTTTTGATTTTTTTAGTTTTTTGTTCGAATGAAAATGTTCATATTATAATTGTAATTTTCAAAAAGCTGTATATTTTTCAAATAGTTATAATTTGCCATTTTTATGTATACATAGATGCATATAGACAATAGACCATTTGGATGGGTTTCTTGCACATGTTTAAGATTTTAAATTGGAACGTAATAAATACACACAAATAAAATTATTAGTAGATTTAATTTACTGATGGATAAATCACGTTCTGTGTTTAGAATTGCGTTTACAAGTGGTTCTGGTATTATTTAATATAACAATATTTAATCATTAAAGTTCGTTTTTTTTTATTCTTAAGTTTTCAAAATGAGTCATTGTTTGTCTTTTATTAAGAAATTGTATACCTATACTGTACGTCTATATCGGTGATGTTTGCAGTATACTCGACTGGGTAATAACCACTTACCCGATGACCTTTCAAAAAAAAAAAAAAAGAAAAAATACTATTAATTATTATAGGTACATATAATATAGTCTATTATTGATTAGTGTGTAATAATTTAATATAAGACATAACGATTACAAATTTACAGCAGGCTGTGGTGTGCACAACAGCAAACCTAAATTAATATCATAAGTCATATAAAACAATGCAACAGAAATAAATATTAAAAATAATAAATGACGATGGAAAAAAATGTGTCATAAAAGAAAAATTCATAGAAATCGAGTACATTTGGGTCCAAATTAATTAATCACATACACCAGAGATAAAAATCATTATCTTCATAATTAGTAAAAATACAAGGTGTAACAGATAGAACTGACTTTTGGAATAACTTTTATTCAAATTCAAATTTTTATTTATTTATTTATTTTTTCATTAAATGAACCTAACGCTATATTATGTATAATATATTTTTTTATGTTTATTTTTTAGTACTGAAAATAAAAAAAAAATTTATTTAATAAAACATTATTTGGATAAATTCAAAATAGCCCGTTTGTGAATCTGATTATAAGAACAATTTTGATGGTAAATAGATTTATTTAAGTCAGGTAGTTTATTTTTTAGAATTTTTTCAAAATTCAATATTTTTATGATAAAATTAATTTGGAACGTAATAAATAAAAATAAAAATATGATTTTTGAGAATTTACTGACATGAGTATATTTTTTAAATCGTTTATTTTACATAGGTATAATACTAAAAAATTTTTTCATACGTTTAATTACCATATTTTTTTTTGTCAGGTCTTTCTGTTATACCCCGTATAGAATATAGAACAGATAGGCGAGTGAAAAGCGAGAGAGAATTTTAAAAAAGGCATGGAATAAAAGAGCTGTAGAGTAGGGTTTAACTATTCAAGAGAGGCTATTGGGGTAAATATAAATTTGCCTGCGATCGACAAGGGAGTTTAAACTCAAATGTTGTTGTACCCTTTAAGGGAGTTAGACATAAAGTGTGCAATTTACATGCAGCACGCAGGCGACAAACTTTAAAAACTTATACGTTGACAATGCGTTCAATTCGACGAGAGACGACGGGCGATATCAAAATTCCATATACGTAGAACAGTACTAAGTACCTAAGAATTATTAATCTCACGATTGCACAATAATATATATATATCATGGTATGATTATATACGATTTTTGAACGATAGTCGTGTATTTAATGGAACCGTATTCGTATTATTTCAAACAAATTCATTTCGCTGCTCGCGAGATGAAGAAAACGAAAACCGCGCATATAAAACATAAATTAAATAGGTAATATACACTTGCATATGCACCTTGTTCAAGTTCTTACATATTTTACTCTGAATATTTACGAATATAAGCTTTGAATTGTTGGTTGCCCTCTCTATATATTATATATACTAAAGTATAGCCACCAACGAAATTATATATTATTTTCATTATTCGACTAGTCCTGCAGCATCGTATCGATTTTGTGCACGCAGGAAGTTCATTTTCTTTGAATTGAACGAAAAAAATGTTTTATTTACGACGTACTTACTACCTACATACGTTCCAGGCTTGGACCCCGCTAGACCGATGTTCTCCAGCAAACGGCCAGCCGAGAGACTCGACAGAACCGATGCACAATTCGTCGACATAGTGCACACAACAAGTTTGGTGTTGGGGCAGCACAAGCCGATAGGAGATATTGATTTCTATCCGAATGGTGGCAATGCGAAACAACCGGGTTGCGGATACGAATACGGTAGATAAGCATATAACAACAATAATTATAATAATAGTATTAATATATTTTATTGAACTAAAACCAATACTACGACTAGGTATACAAGATATATGTTTATCATATACCGTCAATTCATTTATTTGGTAACGGTAAATAAAATGAGGGTGAATACTATTAAAAATACCTACGTGTGTTCATCGATCAAAAATAATTTTATAATTTGAATATGCGTAAATAGGTTTATTACATACCTCATACTTGCCTACTACTTAAGTATATATTATATACCTATAGGCATTCTATTATATTTTCGCGTCTAAAAGTTTATAAATATATTATTATTGTTGGATATATTTGAACTCTCCTGTACACTTTTCCTGGCTTATGATAGTATTTGTGTTTTTTATGTACTTAATGTTTCTTACACTATTTTTTCTTTGTTGCGTTGCAAAAAACTTTGTTCGCATAAAATATCAACATTTTCATCATATTTTTAAGACTAACCTTATTGATTTGTATACAATAAGGTATTTTAAAAATACGGTGATTAAGGGAAAAAATAACATTGTATTAACATCTATAGATGCGAAAGAATATAAGATACAGATTTGAAGAAAAATAATTGCTCAAACGTTATTATAGTCGTCAATCAATAACAACTCGAATAATTAATACATTAAAAAAATCATTAATAAAAAAAACCATAACAATCATCTGTGTATTATCATGAATTCATGATCCATGAGTTTGACATATTTTTTAGTGTACGGCGAGGTGTGTAGTCATTTTAGATCCTATCAGTTTTACGCACGGTCTATCCGGTCCAAAGATGAATTCAAATCGATCAAATGCGACGAGTGGAAAGATTACGAGCAGTCCAAATGCGAAGATCCTGAGAATTATACGTACATGGGCGAGTTTGCAAATTCTAAGTAAGCGTTTTTTAGTGATAATGTTTACAATTGTATAGTATTATTTACATGTTGTCGAATTGCGGTTTTCAAACGGTTTTTTTTTTTGTCACGAATAACCACATAATTAATATTCATTCTGACTGCTTCTAACACATAAAATACATTTTATTAGCACAGTTTCACTGCATATACATTTTAAAATGTTTTTCAGTTTTTCAGGCAAGTATTATTTGTCGGTCGAGTAAGCTGTGGAACTGATGGTATCGGTATATGGTATAAATATTGCTCAGCTTTGTTTTTCCTTCAAATTGGATTTGTTTGTAATGTATTAATTATAGTATCTATATTACGCATAGTCACTGTAACAGCTTAACTATGTACAACATTAATGTTTGTAATTTATAAGCATATTGTTTACATTTTAATTAATTTCAGTGTTCTAATAGTTTTGATTTTATATAATAACATTTAACATCTTATTATTATTATAAATTATAATATCGGCATTGCTAATATAATCTAAACAAATTTATCATATAAATAAATAAATAAATAAATAAATAAATATTAATAATAGTATTTGTATTTATTTCAACAAGTTCATATTATAAATTATAATCAACTAACGGTCGATAGAATATTAAATAACATAAACATCCACAGTATTACAGTGATGTAGGTATACTATTGATTTAAATTATATGATTTTTTATGTTTGTCATCAGCACGATTTGGAGCAAACAATTTGATCAAATTTTGTTTTTTTTTCGGGAGCGTACAAAAGCAGAAAAATCCTAATACTTTTCTGAATAACTGAGAAAAAAAAATAATTACAGCTGGAAAATGGGAATATATACGCAACACCTTTTAAGTTTGATTTGTATAATTGATTTTGTTTCTTTGTTGTAATTCAGAAMGGAATAATAATATCGTAGTGACTWACCAAATACGGCCCAGTGCCAAAATATATTATGTAGAAACTATAGAAACGTTCATTACAGTGACTTATACTACCTACACTCGAAACCTACTTTACATCGGTGACGGTGAGTGAAATCTCAGTTTTCATTACTATTTATTTAAAAAGTCAATGACTTAATATATTTTTATATACTTTGGTTTCGTGACACAGTCATTAATTTCGTATCAGCCGTAATATAAAAGATGAGTTCGGATGAAAATGATGGATTGGCCGATTGGTTACCAACGTTTCGTCCGTTGTTGATTCAAACTGAGGAAGTGAGGACTATACATCACTTATATAATAAAATGGCTTATTTACAATGATAAAATATTTGTAGGTATTGCTTCTAACTATCTAGGTATATAATAATATAAAGATGCGAACTTTTTTTCTTTAGAAGTAATTGAATTTTAATAATTTTATAATGAACTGCCATMGCAGTTACGAGTAGTAGTATATAGTCCGTCACAATGYACACTGTATAACAATAAAAAAAAAATTGACACCGGTCCAATAGGTCATCATGATTATAATATTGTGATTTACCCTATAGACAGACAACTGCATCAACTCGTCTGCGGTTTATTCTGCAATAGGTACCTATGTGTGTTATATTATGTATTCTCAGCAAAAGACCAAGCCCTATTGTCTGCCGTATTTATTAAATTCACAATTTTTTTWACGTTTTRTCATAGGAATTAAATTAAACATTATAAAAAATGTTTTCGCATTGTTTTCTCTACTCAGCTCTCGAACGTCAGGTCAATTTTAGCAAACAAAATATATATTTTATATGGCATTATTAAAATATGTGAGTACCTAGGTAATAAATAGCTGTTACATACAGTTATATACATACTATGAGATAAATGATTATATACGCATAATGCCATAATGTATTTTATGCAAGTTCATAATGAATAATCTACATTTTTAAAAACAAAAATTTTAGAAGAAAGCTCTCGAAAAATAAATTATATTTTACCAACGATAATAAAAATTTCTCACATACATAATAAAAAAATAGTTTTGCCCATTCTTTGCTTTCGGTGCAAGGGCCATATATAAATATACTCATTATTCATAAGTCATAACTTATTTATTCATAACCTATAACATAATTTAACAGGTTGATTAAAGAAATTAACATTTTCCCTAAGTATCATTTAAGCAGGAAAAAGRTTAACAAATTCAATTGAGTGTTTCAAAAATTTCTCCCCATAAAACACCGTMGAAATATTATATAATACCAACTTATTTGTCTTTTTTCACACCATCGTTTAAATTGTCTACATCATAGCTGTGATTTTGAAACTAATAAATTATACGATAAGTTATRTGTTGGAAACTTACTAATTTCCGATTTGCACTAAACTACCAAATCAAATTTCATTCACATCATATACTTAGCAGGTAAGTTATATCTGGGTCGCAAATTTTTATATTTCACACAAAAATTACTACATGATATTAGGCGCAAACACTCCGGAGATATAAGAATATAACAATAATATCGACGGAKTGATAATAAGATCACGAAAGATTGTGATATAGAATTTTTATTTTAAACTTCTAAAAACGTGATGTGTAGGTATTATATGCGTGTGTTGCAGTGTTATCACAAAAAATAGTGTATTATCGACGCTGCTATATAGTTCTGTTGCTGGAATTTCAATAGCTTTCGAAATTTTGTATATGCCATATACTGTATAAGTATCTATTACCGTTATATAGGTACAGGGTGTATATCTTATGTTGTTTTACGCGTAGTTTTTAAACGATTATGAACAGATAATATGGAATTTAGATTAAAATTAAAATTGCCAGTTAAAAAATAAAGCACCACGTCTATTTAATATTTTGAAATTCATGACAATAATCATAAAACAGAACCAGATGTTCACCATTCACCAATGACCACTTTCAATAAATAAATCCATTATTAAAAGTTATAACGTCTGTCTTTAGATTTTATGCCAATGGATGATAGAAATTATGAAGTCGGTATACCTATTTAGCCATAATGGTAGTTAATAGTTGTAGTTAAATATTTTTATTTATAGGTGTACATTCACTTTTGTTTATTGCATAAACTATAGAAATATTATTTCATCTATATATATATATATATATAAGATGACTTTTTAAAAGTTGCTATTTACTAGTATTAATTTTTTTGAAAAATATTTAAGATT